ATTAATACAGTACCTATATAAAAAACATTTCGGTATTAAAAATTATAAAAAATGATTAATTTCTTACAGGATTAGCTACTATTAATAAAATTATATTAGGATTAAATGGTTTCATAGATCCTATTACATTATCTAAAATTTTATAATTTCTTTCAATTAACTAAAAAAAAATTGAATGAACCATTAATTAAGTATTCGAATTCTTTAAAGAAAAAGGAGATAATTTTGATTATACCTACTTCAACTCTTGTTTCGCCGGATTTCTGTTTAGCACCAGCAGTAATAACTACAATATCGCACTGTCCAGCCTCTTGAAAAGTGCCACCGCGAACTTGGGTAGAAGAAATGAAGTTGGCATCTGAAAGATCTAATACTTGACCTTCAACAGCTTCAGGAACAACATCAATCAAAAGAATTTCGGAAGAAATCTTTTGCAAAAGCAATGCAAAGGCAATGGAAGAACCGACAGAACCTGCGCCGATAATAGCAACTCGTGAACCACGACCCATTGTAATTTATGCCTTTAATTAGTGAAATTTTTATCTTTGATTCTTTGAATTTTTGATAACCTTTATAAATATGATTCAAATTTAAAATTTACGTCATATCGTTATACATACGATCAGGATCGAATGATTTTTTTTTTTTACACCGATGAGATGAATATAAAAATTCTGACAAAGTACAAAAGAAAATGTCATTCTATACTATATAAGTAATTCGATCTTCTAGTCTAAGTAAAGTTTAGTTTGTAACATTAAATTACACGTGTCCTGACATTTTTGTCAACTTTTACGAAAAAAGTTACGTTTCACAAAAATTACAAATCTTTTCATAGAAATGTATTTCGTAAAAGTTAATTAGTAAAAAGTTGTCTAAATTTTACCAAAATTTTAGAATATACATAATTTAATATTGCAAACAGCTTTACTTAGAGCTCGAAAGTCGATTTACATAGTATCAAAGACACGTAATGACCAACTGATCTTTGCATCATTCGATTCGAGTCGAATGATAATGTATAAAATCATTCGATCATTGTGCTACCGTAATAGAGCGGTTTAAAAGGTCGTTGCACAATAAACGTCTTAGGCAATTTATTAATTTTTTTTCAGAATTTTTTTCTATATCGATATCGATATCAAAATAATGACTCATTAGATGTTAATCGGACCCGTAGTAACGATGATTTGTAAAAATTGGCTTTTTTTTTTTTTTTAGCTACGTATAAAGCACATATATGCATTGATACGTATATAATTCTTAAAATGAATATGCATACATCAGCATTCAATCGAGAAGTTGAAATTATACACACCCCCAAGAAATTTTCCCCGCACGTGACTGATCATCCGATTTGTGTAACATAAATTACATTTATTAAAATTTGATTAAAATTGATTTTTAATATCTTTAGATAAAGCTTTCTCAACATCCACCTAATCAATTCCAATAAAAAGCCTTTTATTTTATTTCTATAGATTCATAAAATTAAAATAAAAAAAAATCATCAAAATTTGTTGTTGAGAAAACTTCGCCCAAAGTTTGAAGAAAATTCATATACAGCTTAGGCAGGAAAATTTTTTTAAACTTTAAGCAAAGTTTTTTTGACAACTTTATCAATTTTAATGAAATTTTTTTTATTTTAATTATATGAATACATAGAATTAAAATAACAAATTTTCATCAAAATTGATAAGGTTGTTGAAAAAGCTTTGTTTAAAGTTTGAAGAATATTTGTGTATAGCTTCTTTATTAA